ACTTTCAACACGTAAGTTTAACTTGTATTTATTGTGTACACAGGTAGACTGTGTCCATTGCATCGTTTATCATTGTGACAACATAAAAATATGGCAAATCAAGTACTCTTTGTAAGTGTTAAGATTAAACTAATTACATAGCTATGATTGTTATGTAAATATATATATTGGATTAGACATTTATGTGATTGCCTATGTATGACTTATGTGAAATACTAAAATGAATTGTATTCAACAGGTTTGACCAAATTATAATGTTTGAGTCCAACGTCACAAGTTTCACTAAATCCTTTAACCGCCTGATTGGCGGTTACAGTTAATCTTAAGGTGAAATAAGCTGGATTGGCTAATCTTAAGGGGAATTAAGGTGGGGTGACTAATATTCAGGTGGTAATTCACGATTTGCACCTAATATCTGAATGGATGGAGTGGTGGAGGATAAAACAGCTATTATGGGAGGTTCAAATGGCATTAGCCAAACAAACTATTCAAAATGACGTCCCCCCAGTGAAAGGGTTAAAGGAATAGTCTACTAACTGCAAGATAAATTGTCGAATTATCTTCATGCTCATGTTATCTGACCGTTGCAGTGTTGGGTTAAGTGAGGATGGAGGTACTGTGAGGTATCGCCATGTGTATTGTATAAAAGGAGCTTATGTAGCGATGAATGTGTCAAGCCTTGTCTGTAACTCCACTGATGAGGGGGGCAGTTGTCACCGAAACTGTTTACCATAAACAAGACATCTTTTTATTGAGTTCCAGGTATGTACTGATGATTGTTGAGGTCATAACCCAGAATTGTTCATTTCTGGTGACATGTGACCTCTGTTAAATAACTAAGAATAAACTCCAGAACTCCATATTATTTTCATTTGGTTAGTTAGGTATTCTAATCGCCACTGGTTGGCCATTTCTCCGGTATACGTACTGTTGGCAAGCATTGGGCATGTACGGGCTCTTGAATATACGGATCTGAACATGTGCCCACCCCCCTCCGCCACACACACACACACACAACATTTCTGAGAACCATATTGAAACTAAGGATCAAGTAACCTATACTAACCTAAATATTTCTTGTGGGTGTGAATATGGGAGGGAGGAAATGAAGGATGTAGGGAAAATGGGAGGGCGGGGAGGAAGAAAAGAGGGTGGGAGGGAGGAAAGAAGGGGAAGGGAGATGTAACAAGCTATAATTAAGGACCACCAATTGCAAACAATTAATTGGAGGTGGGGGAGGTGTGAGGTCCGTCTATATATATATACAGTATATACACAGGGAGCGTGTGTGGTGACCTACCAGACACACACAAACCACCATGGGTAGGGTAAATGTGCTTCTGATGGTGGTGATGGCGGTGGTGGTAGCAGTAGGTGGTGTAGCTACTGGTGGTGGTGGTGGTGTAGCAGGGTTGGTGAGACAAGCCCGGGGACCTGGTGATGGCTGTGGTCCCAATCCTATCGCTCGTTTGGCTCAAGTCATCACTCATATCACAGGAGGTGAGTGTTTTATTCTTTAAATCTTGATCTTGTTCTATATAATTGCGTGATTATGACGATTGACTCTTCTGCGCGCGCGCGTGTGAGTATGTGTGGGGACAAAAGCCCATAAAAAACTTATATAACCTCAGGATAATATATATATATATATATATATATATATATATATATATATATATATATATATATATATATATATATATATATATATATATATATATATATATTGTTACGAGTTGGGGATTTAGAATATAGTTAAAAGTCTACCCAGATCCCAACAGGCAACAACAAAAAAACAAAACAAAGACAATCGGACTATAAAAGGGAAGACAAAGGATGCGAGTTTTTGTTGTGTATAATAAAGTACCATAAATTCCTTAAGAAAATATTCAGCTTCTTATAAATTACCCTTAACCATACTTAACCTAAACATACGCAACATTGGCTTAACAGTATATACATATTTATACAACATACAATAATTTGAAGCAAGGTGGAGGTGGGGAGGCAATATAAGATTACAAAATACTCAAGTGCAGTGCTGAGATGGCTGACGAGTAAGGCTGAGTATTGTAGAAGACGGTAGGTAGTCACTGTGCCGTAGGTTTCCAGGATAGGTGATCCTAGTGTGGTCACTTCCTAGAGTGAACTGAACTTTCCTCGATCTGGAGCTGATGAGGAAGACTTGTAGGAGGTGACGCAACAACCAGGATATGGAGAAGGAAAACCCCGGAGTGGTAACTAAGACTAGTCATACTCGGGTTTCGTCCCTAGATGGCGTTGCTCGTGGTGCTGGGTAGGTAGATCATGACAATAGATGGAGGGGTTCGTAACAATATAATATATATATATATATATATATATATATATATATATATATATATATATATATATATATATATATATATATATATATATATATATATATATATATATATTTATATATATAAATCTTAGGAAAGATTGTGTGGATTTGGTACAGTGTATGGTAGTATGGTTATGGTAGGTACAGTATGTGGTAGTGTGGTTATGATACAGTGTGTGGTATTTTGGTTACGGTACACTTCTCGGTGGTGGGAAAAGTTCAGGAATATGTGTTAAAAATGGAAGAAATATTGTAATAATAGACAGACAAGAATATAACAAATCATTAAATTTTGGAATATGAAGAACATTATTTTATTACAATATGATTGTGGGTGAAAATATAATACTAAAAACAAATAACTAACTACTGTATAGTTGAAACCTGTTGAGAGAAGGGAACTTGTGTGACGAGTGGGAAGTTTCAACTATTATTACATGAACTGCATTTCGATCTATTGACTTATATTGTCTTCAATATTATGTGATATTATTTATTCTTCCCTTAATTATCTAACATGTACTACTGTGGTTATAAGGTGATGACTAGAAGGTTTACCACCAGCGAGATACTGTGCACATAAAACTCTTAGGGGCTGGTCTTTTACACCTGACATTAGCAAGTGGTGGGTGTCCGGGTAGTCTTCGCCAGACCAAAGTTTTACTTCACTTATTACATCGTAAGTCTCAGAGTAGCATAATGCGTGCTGATCCACACTGACTATGTCATTAGTTTATATTTACAGCTACACTAATTAGGTGTAGTTAACTATAGTGAGAGGATTGGTTCACTGGCAGACACTACACACACTACTTCAACCTCCATTATGGCGGAGTAAAAAAAAAAATACTTGGTCATGAAACACGCGAAGACGACCACTTCCTGTTGCTTCAAGTTGGTGAAGAAATACAAATTGACCAATGATTAATTTTGAGTATATTTCATAAAATGGTCTTGTTTCAAAACTTTTTTTTTCATATTTGATGTTAGTGGTATCATTCTTGTGACATTCCGAGGGAGAATATTAAAGCTGCAAGTGTGTTGACAGAGACGGTGACGGCGGAGGAGGTGGCGTGGCAACTACAAGAGGACCCCTACATGTGGCGGGAGATGCTCTCACTACTTCAGTTCCGCCAGTATCACAACTGTATCACCACGGGCGACGGCGCAAGGTTATGATCCCCGGCCTCCTCGTACTCCCATCTGTGGTACTCGACAGATTCCGGATGACAACCTTGCACTCTGGGTGATTGCTTTACACTCTGGATGACGACAGTGTGCACTGGATGACAAAATGACAAATAAAAAAAAAGTCAGGGGGAAAATTAATCTTACGAATGGAGTAACTTATTTGTGAGCTTAAGGAAAGGCAGTGCAGCCCGACCCAGACTGTACAGTTTATGGGAGTAAATGAAACAAAACTGCAAACATTAAATTTTACTTATTATTGATTCCACAACTGTCCTTTAAAAAAACAAAAAAAACATACATCTAGTTTAAAATAAAAAAATTCTTAAGTGAGTCCCCATAACACCAAAGTGAGGTAGGTTGAAAAGAGTGGAGGGGGGCTGGCAAAGGGGAAGGTCCTTAAGCATGTAACACGGTTAATAATTGCACTCTTCTATCAGTTAAAATGATGGGATATAGCTCTGTAATAACCAAGTAAACTTATCTATACGAGTAATTAGTCACGAGTAATAAGATAAGAAAACGGAAGCCATTAATTTTCCTTTCTCTACCAGATGTAACTAACTAAAAAGGAAGTGGCAGGTGGAGAAAGTTTAGTGGAAGAATAAAGGGTGGGTGGAAGTGAGTTGTAGTAGAAAAGATGCTGTGGCTTAACACAGCTTGTCCAATGGCGATAAGATTGTCAGCAGCAGTATCACCCTGCCCGGCTGAGGCAGCATTTTTTATTTTTATTATTTTTTTATTTAAGACCGTCACCGCCAAGGACGCAGCACGAGCTTAGAAAACCGCCAGGGGCCAACCCCCAGTTCTCGACGGTCACACCACAATAAAGACATCAAGATCGATTAGCGGACGTCACAAGTCACAACACCTGCCCTGGAGCTGTACTGTACACTAATAATGCATACAACACTCCAATAAGTCATTTATACAGGGAGTTGCATCTCATAAGTGTTGATGACAGTGTATTTACTACTCCAGCTGTTGAAGCCAAATAATACTTTAAAATATCAACGCATTTCTGTCTTAAAGTTGATCTATGGATGGTTGACACTCCTGTATAGTGTTCCGTATAAAGTATAATTTCATTCAATATCAACACAAGAAAAGACTTTAGCTACCCGATACAAATCTATACAGAATTTGGCACTCAATCTAGCATTTTCTGTATCCATTCTATCTTTCTTTTACGCTCACATTTCAGTGAAAATAAACGACAAATACAGTACTCTTGTACAGCCGTTTTTATTGAAAAAAAATTCAAGATCTTGTAAATCAAAATCCGTTACCAAAAGAAAGAACAAAAGTTTGTCATATCCTTACAGTCTATTGTTTTCCTTCTATGATCTATACAGAAACTCTCCCTTAGCCTATCACTGTCTACTTATAGGATAAAGTATACCTATTTATAGAACAAGTGTGCGTCACCTCAAGCTCCCGGTGTTTATCAACTCGGCTCCTCCAGTACAGTATGAATGTTCATCCCTGGTACCGTGCCAACCTTAGTACCAGTTCCATAGTGCTTGGCTTTGTAGAGATACTTTGTCGGGTCACTTCTTATAAATTGGGGGAATATTTCTCCTCGAGTACCTGTGGAGTGGGGCTGTGTTTCTTCTGGTAGCGATCCATTGGAATAGGACATTGAATTTTCTGGGATTGGTTCATGACAGTGAGACAGGTTACTTGATACAGGGTGAGGTGTGAGAGGCGGTGCTGTTCCCGATGGAGCTCCTGAGGGAAGGTGTGTTCCCTCTGGTGAAGCGGCAGGGAAGTAAGGCTGATGTGTTCTCACTGGTGGAGCGTCAGTGAAGTAAGGCAGGTGTGTTTCCCCTGGTGGAGCGTCAGTGAAGTAAGGCAGGTGTGTTTCCCCTGGTGAAGCGGCAGGGAAGTGAGTATTGTTAGTATAGTGAGGCAGTGGTGATGGTGGTTTAGAACCAGTGGAAAAGGGCAGTGGTGCTAGTTGCTTAGAACCAGTAGAATGGGGCAGTGGTGCTAGTTGTTTAGAACCAGTCTCATGGGGCAGTTGTGCTGGTGGCTTAGAACCAGTAGAATGGGGCAGTGGTGTTGGTGGTTTAGAACCAGTAGAAAAGGGCAGTGGTGTTGGTGGTTTAGAACCAGTAGAATGGGACAGTGGTGCTGGTGGTTTAGAACCAGTAGAATGGGGCAGTGGTGCTAGTTGTTTAGAACCAGTAGCGGGGCAGTGGGGCAATGGTGGTTCATATGAAGGTGTAGGTGCTAGTTTGGAACCAGTAGAATGGGGCAGTGGTGCTGGTGGTCTAGAACCAATAGAATGGGGCAGTGGTGCTAGTTGTTTAGAATCAGTAGCATGGGGCAATGGTTCATATGAAGGTGTAGGTGGTGCTAGTTTGGAACCAGTAGAATGGGGCAGTGGTGCTGGTGGTCTAGAACCAATAGAATGGGGCAGTGGTGCTAGTTGTTTAGAATCAGTAGCATGGGGCAATGGTTCATATGAAGGTGTAGGTGGTGCTAGTTTGGAACCAGTGGAATGGGGCAGTGGTGCTGGTGGTCTAGAACCAATAGAATGGGGCAGTGGTGCGAGTTGTTTAGAATCAGTAGCATGGGGCAAAGGTTCATATGAAGGTGTAGGTGGTGCTAGTTTGGAACCAGTAGAATGGGGCAGTGGTACTGGTGGTCTAGAACCAATAGAATGGGGCAGTGGTGCTAGTTGTTTAGAATCAGTAGCATGGGGCAAAGGTTCATCTGAAGGTGTAGGTGGTGCTAGTTTGGAACCAGTAGAATGGGGCAGTGGTGCTGGTGGTCTAGAACCAATAGAATGGGGCAGTGGTGCTAGTTGTTTAGAATCAGTAGCATGGGGCAATGGTTCATCTGAAGGTGTAGGTGGTGCTAGTTTGGAACCAGTAGAATGGGGCAGTGGTACTGGTGATTTAGAACCAGTAGCATGGGGCAGTGGTTCATATGATGAAGGTGTAGGTGGGCGGCAGAGGCTCTCATAGTAGGGGTTAGCATAGCCCGTAGCAGCAGAGGGTGACGTTCCGTGCGTGTTCTTGGTGGTCCGTTTCCAGTACTGTAACATGTAAGTTGATAAACAAGTGATACGGAATAAACTATTAATCTTACTTAAAAAAATACTCCTTATAAATAAGAAACTGGTGTCATTGACCAGATACATACTCGTATATGACTACAGAATGTTGAGAAAGAAGTTGAAGTTACTAATGGGTGCCATCTATTATTGGTGAATTAAGCAAACTTTGCGTTCTCAGAGAGAGGGAGTTGACTGATTTTGTTCTAACAAAATTCTTCGGACATAACTACAGGAACAATTAGAACAAGTCTTTGGAAATCATTGACATGAATTTAAATTCCGCCATGAAGATATATATCGGGAGAAACACAGAGCAGACTAACAGACGCGTTAAGAGCCAGGCCGTGTCTTGATAGTAAATACACGTGGCAGATCAGCACTGTATGTAGTTTGGCACAATGCAAAATAAAAATTTCCTGAGCAAGACTATGGCCATTGCCCTGAGCATTACATACAAAATTTTCTAAATATTAAAGAATTCAGGGAAAGGGAACATAAGTCATCAGAGATGTCTACCTATTTCCCTGTCGATCAAGTTTTACTCAGAACCCTGAAAAAATAAATTGGGCGAGACTTGTAACTTTTGTACAACCGTCCAAGGATAGACACGCGGTGTGTATTATATTACTGCCTGCTCCATGACAAAATCTAAACAACCCCCTCTCTCTTTCTCTCACACATACAGTCAGAGCGACAGTTAAAGTGTACAGTACCAACCGTGAGCGCCATGATGACAGTAATGGCGATGACACTGACGGTGGTGACGACGACAGAGGCCAACACTCCTCTCGGCAACTGCGACCCCTTACTCCCACCTGCCACACCAAACATTAACAATAACACTTCAATAAAAAGAGACGTAGCTACAGACAAACTTAATAGACCATTCACAGTTGCAAATCTAAATCAAGGTTGAAATAAAAAGTTCGTACTGTATAGGGAGATACTGTTCGTGGTTACTCAAATGGTCCCAACCTGATATAACCCAATCTAAATAAACTGTGGCTCAGCCGGAATAGTAGTCGCACTAATGGATCCCAATCCTGATTGCTACGTTAAGGTAGACTAAGTTGGGCGTATTAAAATGGGGGCTGGAGCCTGATACAGCTGCAACTATACCAACAACTGGGGTACATACGCATTTGACTTGTAAATGTTGGAAAAGAAATTGTAATTCTAATAAGATTTTATTTCCTGGTGTATTTAGCTAGGGAAACCTGTACTTGAAAACTACCGTGTAGTACAGTATATGATTGAACACTAGACAGCCATACCCGCTGAAGGATCATTATCGTCATTTTTGGCCGCTTCATCCTCGTCATCTTCCTCGTCCTCGTCGTCCTCGTCGTCCTCCTCGTTCTCGTCCTCCTTCTTGTCATAGTCAAGTTGGTGGGTAAGAATAACACTGCCGTTGTTCATCTTGAAGGTGAGCCGCACTACATCGCTAAACACCTGTGTGGCGTTGATCCATGGTGCAGACGGTCGGGATTTGTGGTGTAAACGGTACCACTGTCAAACAACAACACAGTCACCCACCATACATAGATGTTATTCTTACACCTGTATATTTTATCATTATTATTAGTCCGATAGCCTAGCTTAATCTCAACGAGCTAGACAAACTAGGTCTACATTAAGTCTAGAAAAATGAAATGCAAAATATGATTATGAGGTACAAAGAAAAAGTATGGTTGACTAGTGACTGTCATGCCCCGGCACCGGGAACTATGGCAGGGGGTCAAATATTTAAGGCTGATAAATTTTTTTCTTGATACTAACCGAAGGTCGTTTAAACTGAAGTGAAAGTTGTGTCTCCCCGGAAAGGTCGAGGGAAGTGTTTGGGGGTGACTCCTGCACCTCAATCAACACCTTTGTGTCCTCTTCCGCCTGTAGGATGAAATGGTCAGTCCAAGTTCTTCCACCTGCCGCAACGTAGAGACGAGACGTCTGGCCTGGCAATAGTTTCCACATGGGTGTTCCTACACAAACGCACACACATATGAAAGACTGGAAGATTCATATTTATAACATACTCGTATGTATATTAATAAATCTGCAACAGGCTGATTTTTGCTGCTGTACAATCTAGAGTTTAGACTGAAGACCTTACTTGAATTATATCAAGATGCTACTACTTGGCACAACTTTACTGGACTATACCACAAAATAAGATTATACATAAATTCTTAATATAAGTGACCCCCCCCCAATCCGTAGTCAACATACTCCTGATACCAAACTTCTGGTAACCAACTATGTTAAGCCACATCTTGGTGGCCATCATGCGGACGCCTCTACTGAAGCTGTAACAGTATCAGAGAAGTAACGTGAAGGTAAACACAAAATGGTTATGAAACAGGCCTATGTTGTGACCATTTATCAGAATATGCTTTTTAGATGACCATAGTTGGTGATGAGTCACACTTACTCTCCAAGCATTTGTGGGTGAAGGCGTCCCCGGAGATACTGATGGCCTTGCGTTGCTCCGAGGAAGGGTAGGTGTAGTTGCGGCAAGGCAGTAGCTGGGTCCCGTTTGCATCAAATAGATCCATCCTGTCTCCTACAGTAAGCTTGAGTCGCGTCCATCCAGTTTGAGGGGCAGCCAACATGTGGCTACAGACCTGGCCCTGCTCTGTCACATTCACCCACTCGGCTGTTACGTTCACTCTCACCATTATTTTTTTCCTTTGTGTCTCAGATATTAACAGAGAAATTTGCTTGGAGAAGAAACTGTCAAATTCTATAGTTCCCTTAACCAACTCTTCCTTTATTTCCTTTTTCACAAAACAATCTGGAAAATAATATTGATTTTAAAATTACAAAAAAGAATTTAACTTTATCGGGTACTTGACCATAACATTGCTTAAAACGCTAACACAGATACATCAGCTTCATACAGTAGGCGTCACGGAGTTGTAGTAGAAGGATTAATCAAGATGAATGTAAGTTTAATACCGATGGTTCTGATTCGTTTACGCACCTGCCCGCAGTGCCCGAGGTAACATGTAAGAGGGATGTGGTTATAATTATGTTCTAAAAAGGACCTTAGAGGCTGCCGTTCGGGCAGTTGGTCTGTACTTTGTTATGATCTTTATTGCTCAGTGTTTTTTTTATTATTATTACCGGTACAGGAGGAAACCGGAGTATGCCTAACTCAAGTTCAAGAAGCTTTCAGTGCAGAAATCTATCAAAGCTAACTTGTTTTGAGTAAGGTTCACAGACTCAGTGTTGTGGCAACACCTCGTGTGAGTTCCTTAACGTCCAGACTTGACCAATACTGGCTTATATTCAGGTACTGTATATTTAAGAGCGTGTACTGTAATCCTCAAAAGTTTTGTCGCCTCTCCTGAATCACGAAACCCCAGATTCAGTCACGGTCAAAAGTTCGTGTACCCATCGGAGACTCATTCCCATGTTCACTGCTTCACGTGAACTTTTGATGCTGACTGCCAACAATGTGTAACAGTGAACTGACCGACCGCCCGACCTGTTATTAAACTGACAAGTGGCGAAGAGGATGAATTAGTATCGTCACCTCCATGTATACTGAGGATAACAAACCACTACCACCTACAACCAACATGTCTTACTACCAGTTACAAGCACTATGTCACACTACCAGCTATAACCACCATGTCACACTGCCAGTTACAACCACTATGTCACACTACCAGTTATAACCACTGTCACACTACCAGTTACAACCACTGTCACACTACCAGTTACAACCACTATGTCACACTACCATAGCCATCGATATTAACGGTTAATACTACTGATGCAATATATTGACTCATTATTATTGGGCAATATGCTCACGCGAGAGTAAATCTTCCTTTGGCAGACATAGTGATGACATAAACATTGCTGTGAGGAGGGTAGTAGACAGTGACAGATTATTGCACAATAATTGGTACACGTGTTGCCCAATAAAACCAAATCGATTTTGAGTCATTCAATATTTTGCGCTATTCTGCAATATTTACCCTAAGCTATCAATAATATCGCGCAAAATGGTTTTTTGCGCAGTAATGTTAATTAAGTAGAGGCAGCTTTAGGGAAAGAACTGACTAACCGGCTGAACAGCCAATTAAGTTCGTGTTAAAATGAAATGATAAATTAAATGTCGTTTTGGTGATAAGTTAATTTAACGGAAATGTTGTGGAGAGAATATTGACATGGTGTATCTTTTTCTTATTTTTTCGGAATATCTCTGAAGGAAGGAGAGTGGAAGAAGTAAATCAAGCAACTAAGCTAGTAGGTCTTATAAGAACGGCGTTCCCAAATAATTATCTTCATTTTTTTTTTATTGGGCACCCTCCTCCCTACATCCTTGTGTAAGGTGAAGCGCAGAAGCGTTTACAGCGCCCAACAGGGAAGCATGCTAAGTTCATGCTTGCCTTATGTCTCATGAGTTAAGGGCGTAGAAGCCTGAAGAGTCAAGGGCGTTGTTACCGCCACAGTAAGATAAGCTAGAAGAGAGAGAGAAAGAGAGGGATAACCATAATAAGATAAACTAGGCGAAAGAGTGAGAGAGGGGGGGTGAGATAAGAGATATAGTGTTGACAACGAATTTGCTGACCAATCTGCTGAGGTGTTTCAATGCGAAAACATATGGCCCTCGCCTCCGGGCTGAGATTGCCCTCGAGGGTAGTCTACTGATTTCTACAGGACAGACAACACGTTGGTTCAGACCACTAGACCCTAAAACGTGAGTGATCGTGAAGTATTAGAATCTGCTAAGAAACTCTAAATAACTTTAATAAGTATATTTGTGTACTGTAATTTGATCATAGTTATAACATGCGAGTTATATTTAAGATGTTAACAGACTATGTACTGTATATTGATTGTATTATTCATACTATGTCCTGAGATAACAGCATTTGTTATATGAGAAATGTTCTTTAACAGGTTTTGACCGAATTATATGGTACGCGTCAACGTTGAGGGTTTATTTCTCCAGCAACAAACCAATAACGCTCCTATGAGCGTTAACAGGCGTAGAAGCCTGAAGAATCAAGGGCGTAGAAGCCTGAAGAGTCAAGGGCGTAGAAGCCTGAAGAGTCAAGGACGTAGAAGCCTGAAGAGTCAATGGTTTTTATGATATACGGGGATTAGCCCACCCGGGCACAGGTCACTGACCCAGCTTTCCCACCTGGAATACTGTCACCCCGTCTGGTCCCCGAGATATGCTAGACCAGTGGTTCTCAACCTTTTTCACTCCATTCCCCCCTTGAGGAATTTTCAACATCCTCGTGGCCTCCTTCATTTTTCTCCCAGAACAGACAAACAAACAAGTGATAAAGACTAAAGAATGATAAAGAAGGACAGATAAATAGGACAAGAGTTAGAATGGCAAACACACACACACATTCACATACATAACACGCCCATGCACTCACACATAAAGTACACATACAGTCATACACAAACATGCACACAGGTAAACATTCACACTGAAGCTAGCAAGCTGAAGTTTACTTCCTGTAAGCAAGAACACGCCTCCTTTGACAAGCACTGCCCAACTTGGAAGAATGAGAAGAATAGTGAGTCATACCAGGATTATACAAGTAAAGAATGAGTATGAACAACAATGTCACCAATAAATAAGGAAATAACTAATACAGTAAAGGAAGTGTACATTATTTCACTCACGTAAAGCAGCGACCACATGAATTATGAAACAAAATAAGTAACACCACTGACGGAGTATATTATGCTTGAGCCAAGCTCAAACACATGTCATAGCCCGTTAACTGTAGGTTCTGTCGAAGTTAACTAGGCTGGAACGTTTATATTTTATTGGGTCTTTGTAGCAAAACCCAAGTTGTCTTATCCATTTATTCAGGAACGACTAAGACAATTCCAAAGTGTAAATCAACCGTAACTTATCACTGTAACTATGAGTGTTAAGAGAAGGACGGAGGCTATGTAAATAGACCTGCTTAAAGACGTCCTTCCTATGTGAGTCGTTGAGGGAGTGTCTATGAGTAGTGATTCATCGAGGGAGAACGGAGTAGGCACGTCCCTCGAGGGAAGACGGAACCATCCACGACGGCTCTCAAATAACGTCTTCCTCTAGTCAAGGATATCAACCTACTGCTCGCTTTAGGTGGCCAGGGAGCCGGCTACTAAATGCCAGAACTCAACATAATATGACCCAGCTTCCCGTGGGCACACCTTATCACGTGCACTGAAATGTCACCTCATAGCTAGTGGAAAGTTACAGGGGATGAATCAGTATATAAATCAAATGTAATTAAACCATTTATATAATTCTTCTGTTTATGAAACAGGGGCCATTACACACAATATATGGTTCAGAGACAATACACTCCACTGTTTTCGTGATGGTATCCCAGGCCAGACTGAGATTATTCGGTCATATCACCACTTGCAAAGGGATGACACACAGACACGTACTGAACAAGTCAGTTCTGTAGGTTATGTATCTAAGCTACTGTGCCGAGTAGCAACCTTGTATATAAGCTACTGTGCCGAGTAGCAACCTTGTATATAAGCTACTGTGCCGAGTAGCAACCTTGTATATAAGCTACTGTGCCGAGTAGCATCTAATGTATATAATTACGTGGCAACACTGCACGTGTTATGTGGCAACATTGCCCCGAGGCTGCCATATGACAAGGCAGTCTCAGTCTGACTCTGTGGGCCGTGCATGGCACACGCTAGTCACCACTTGTATTTCTCCTATCCGTTAATAAATGGACTTCAGTGTTACCCGGTGTTTCCCTACCCATCACTGCCTTCTTCAGGGAACACTTGGAACCTTCAAGTTCAGCAGCTCGGCCCAGCGCCTGTCACACAGACAGGGACCGGACCTGTGAAATCTTAAATAATCCGTAAAAAATAAAATAAAAATAGCACCAGAGTATGTAAATATTGAAATTGTATTGTCGTTATGATTAAACAAAATGACAAAAAAAGTATGAAAATTCTCTTCTGCCAAGTCAAAATAAGTAATACAAGTTTTGTTTAATTCAGATTCCCAACATTATTTGGAAACGTACAATTTATAACAGCTCGCCGTGGCTCCCCTAAATTCTTGCTGTGGCTCCCTTGGGGGCCATGGCCCCCAGGCAGAGAACCACTGTGCTAGACTGTCAGTCGATTTGAAAACGTCCAAAAGAGGGCCACGAGACTGGTGCCTGCACTACGGCAATCCAGTAGTTGCCCAGCTTATATTGTACTATAGGCAGGCAAGGGGTGACTTTAATAGAAGTATATAAACTCCACAGAGAACTTTACTCAGTCGAGTGTACATATCTCGAGCTGGCGGATGCCCGGCCCACTAAAGGTCACAGCTTAGGTTAAAGAAGCCACAAATTTATAAACAGGGTAAACTTTTTTGTAGTGAAAGTTGTGAACTGTTGTAATAACCTGCCAGAGAGTGTTGTGACGGCACCAAGTGTGAGCTCATTCAAGACCAGACTTGACCAACACTTGCGCAGATACAGATACAATCAGGAGCCAGTTCATGCCCAGTACTTGCCAACAGTGTGTAACAGAGACGTGACCGGCCGCCCAAGCGGCGAACAGACCGATCAGTGGTGAATAGGATAAAGTATTTTGGCAGCATAATCGATCTGGAATTTTTTTTATTACTAACGAAATGGTCGTATTAACGGAAATTTAGTTTTACGTGACAAAAGATATAGTTGTCTTACTTGGCAGGACCTTGAAGGGTCTGACTGTGGAGGTCAACGTCAGCCAGACCATCAGTATCAGCAGCACCTTAGGCGCCATCACTAGTGCTCTACAGTACACTGTCTCTACAGCGACTGACGGCCGCCCAGCTAACAAATGTCAAATTCCGGTGAGTACAGGATGCGTCCACACGAGTCGGGAGTATGAGGCAACACTTCATTAATCATATTACAAAAATGGACTAAAACTCGAAACACAACATCTACAGCCTCTAGCAAATTGCGCTTGTCACGTGAGATATGATTTTTTCATTATATAAAGGAATCAACACACAGGTCTGGCATCTGAAAGAGCGGATGAAGTAAATGAAGCAGCTGTAGGGGTAAAATTAGTTGATAAATTCGTATTAATTAACATTAAGTCAAACTGGTTAAAATGTTATGGACACAAACACTGAGACTTTCCTTAACACGAATGTGAAGGATAAAACTATATTTTAGATCCATAAACCTGATATAGCTGATGCTGGGAAACCATTGTGTAGAAATTGAATGATTAATCCAGATGAATGTAAGTTTAATATCTATAGCTGGGGGAACATTGAAGAAAGAGGGGGGCAGCATCAAGTGTGACCTCCTTGGTGTTCAGGCTTGACAAACACCAGAAAATATTCATGTGTTTGCTCGAGTTTGTTGATGTCCAGTATTTGTCAACAGTGAGCAACAGTAAATTGACCGGCTGCTCGACCCACAAGTAAGTTGGTAAGTGTAAGACAGTTGATGTGGTCTAGTCCCGCTGGTAAGGTGTTAACAGTGATCTTAAGGTGTGCCAGATCTTGACTACAGTAAGTGAATCAGGTCAACGCTGGCGAGAGAACTGGCCTTAGATTTTGCCTCATGATATATAATTAGCGGCAAAATATATGTACATCTCTTATTATTGTAAATTTGTCTCCCAGTTTCTATCTAATCGGGGAAGGTGGGGGTAGTGGGAAAAGCGTTCGCCTCCTACCTGAGCCGTTAGTTCGTACCTGGGGCACCTCCAGTTTACTCAGGTGTGCATGGGTACAGTACCTAACATTTCAGTTGGAGTAAGTGAAAGCGGTCGGGTTCAGGACTGGCCATTTTACCCTCCTGTCAACAGCGCGGTATATCTGTACCGCCTGTAACGGGGTGTCCCGCCTATGGAACCCAGTTTCACTTTTAATTTAATTTATCTAATTTACTGACTAAATCTGATAATGATTATGATATCACTATAATCCAAGACAATACCAAAGCTGTATGTCGTGTATACAACTGTGCGTATACAGTATAAAGAAAAACTTTGTTGTATGGGTTCTGAGCAATGAATATATATTACAGATAAAACTGATTTACTCGACTTACGGTACCTTGGAGATGACCAGTCAGGTTTACATGTACTGTACAGTATAATTATTGTTCTTGCATACCGATGTTTATCGCAGTAAAATCATTTACATACATATAGATCCATGTTCTTTCCATCTATCAGCAGTGTTAAGTGTAAACAATTTACGCCTCTAGGTACCGGAAATCTAATTAAAAGTTATCTGGAACCCGATGTTGGGCGGGCTAATCCAGTTTCCTCATCCCCACAGAATAGCTGCTTGACTACCAACCTAAGTGGTCCCGGTCGATCAGTGACGAAGAGGATAAAGGCAAGTAAAAGTTAGAACCTGGCACCCAGAGGTGTAAATTGTTCACATTGATTTACTTGTGTATATTACAGGTTATGGTACAGTGTTAAGTGTGTTGATGGTTAAGCTGGGAAATGACTAAGTTAGTGATAAAGGCGGGTATGTTCTAATGAGGCTATATGCAAGGGTACTGGTTAATCGTTAATGTAATAATACTAATAATGATGAGGTAATGTAATGATAACTTACTTCCAAACACTTGGCACAAATAACATTAAATCTCAAATTACAATATTTAAGGCGATTTAAAAGAATAGGTAATAATAGTAAGGAGATAAAAGTCAGTGAATACACAGTTGGGTGTGTTTAAGGTGTGACAAGAAATGACAACAGGATGCGGGCTGTGGGCACACTTGTACTGTATATTCGTCACCAGAGCCACGGGGCGAGACGTTACACGTTACGCTCAAACTTATTCAATTTCAATTGTTTATTCCTTGATAGAGGAAGCGGGATCCTAGTGCTGTCACTAGGTACCCCTGTACAATAACACCAGAAGCATCTGGCAAGTGTGACAAGTATATACAGTATAAATATTATAAAGGGGCTTACTAAAGCCTAAGGAAGAAAGGATATTCCTTTAACACATAATCAATATTATTTACAAAATATCTGGCCAGTATGGGGAGGATCATCGTGTCTCCGTCAGGGGGTCGTGGAGTGGTGGTCCAGCAGGCGTCACGGAAGCGTTGTGTGTGGGGACATCTTAGGAGGTAGTGGATAAGGGTGCGGCTGTCGGGTCTTCTGCATAATGCACAAGAGCGTTGCTCAGGGGATGCGGGGATACCAATCTCCCAAGCAAAGTCATACCCATGATGATACGGGCAGCAATCACGTCCCCTTTCCGCGACCCTTTCCCGTAGACGTACGAGAGGTCAGGAAGTTTACGGAGAACATCGCACCAGGTGGGCGGGGAGTCCAGGGGGATGGCTGCTTCCCGAGCTTCTCTCTGTTTGCGGGGAATTTGGGTCCTAATCTGTAAAAGTGTTCGAGGAACAACGTAGTCAGGTGTGGCCTTGTTGCAGCCAATCTTGGCAAGGTCATCTGCTGCCTCATTCCCCAAGATACCGACATGACTGGGTATCCATAGGAATGTCACAGGACGGCCTGCATCCTGAAGTGTGGATGTTAACCCTCGTATTCGGAGGATGAGGTCCTTATTTTCCCCTGATCCAAATGCGATCCCGTCGAGAGCAGACCTGGAGTCGCAGCAGACAAGCAAGGGGCAGAAACCATCTGCTTCTTCCTCAGCGAGAAGGGCAGCAAGGAGGGCTATTAGTTCAGCCTGAGTGGAGGACGCCCCGTCAGAAACTCTGAGAGACAGTTTGATAGGCTCAGGGACATCAGGACGGGAGATGTAGATACCAGCCCCGGGCCCTACCTGTAGCGGGGTCAACAGAACCATCAGTGTAGAGGACGACCCTACCTGGGGACCAGTGGGCGATCTTGGAGAGGTGGTATTTGCAGAGAATAATAGGGTTCACCTGGGAATTCGGGAGCGGTCCACCGAGGGCAATCACTTCAGGTTGAAAATCCAGCCAGGGAGAAGGAGACGAACCAACAGCAGGGGTGACAACAATATCAGGCAGGAGGTCGTGTTCCTGAAGGGCTCGGATGAGTGACCCTCGCCACTGTCTTCTAGATGGAGGTCGGTCTCGGACAGCAGGAGTCAAGTTGGTGTGGACATGGTTGCCCCGAGGATCCCGTAGAATGGAAACGGCAGTTTTTTGGTAAAACTCCTGGACACGATCCTGTAAGGGGGAAAGACCAAGTTCGGTATATAGAGAAGTAGAGCGTGTCCACTGAGGAGCCCCAAGGATGATACGAGCAGCTTTCCTCTGGATAACTTCGAGACGGTTGACAGCAGTCCGACTAATGTTGACGAGGGCAGGGGCGGCGTAGTCGACATAGGAATGGACAAAGGACTTGTACATGGTGAGAAGTACAGGGATGGTGGCACCAAGGGAACCCCTGCACATGGTAGAGAGGGGAGCGAGACGCCGAAAGCATATGTCTCGAAGATAGCGGACTTCAGGGATCTGACAACGTGTGCGAGTTACATACACACCCAGGTATTTTGTCTCATTAACCCAGTGCAAGGGCGTTCCTGATAAGAGAAGGGGTGGAGGTACAACACGACCGTGCCACATGGCTTTTGTTTTCGCAGTTGAAAGAAGGAAACCAAGTGAATCACACTCTCTGGAGACCAGATCAAGGGCTTCCTGCATGCTGAGGTAGTCAGGGGCTTGGAGGAGGACATCGTCGGCATATCCTGAGTGGACAACTTCTGCCGGCCACGGGAGAGATGCAATGGAGTGCATGAGAGTGTTAAACAAGGTGGGACTCAGGACTCCACCTTGAGGGGTGCCGAGATTCATTTCTTGAACAGGAGACATAGAGCCTTCAAAGCGAACCCGGGCCTGACGTCCAGTGAGGTAAGAGGCGATCCATTGTAGAAGTCTCCCTTTAACCCCTAACCGCGCAAGTTCAGCTAAAATGAGGGCAGGCTGAGCCGTATCAAAGGCTCCCTTGATATCAAGGAAGACGGAGATGCGGGCAGTCTGATGGCAATAAAAGGAAGCAATGGAGTGTGCTGTGCTGCGATGTTGAATGAAACCATTGAGGGAGTTGTGGAAGCCGCCTATGGTGTGAAGAAGGCGACGATGGAGTATCCTCTCCATCACCTTGCAAACACAGGAGGTAAGACTAATGGGTCGATATTTCCCAGGATCTCCCGGCTTAGGGATGGGGATAATAGTGTCATTTTTCCAGTTGGACGGGAGAACCCCATGTTCATAAGACATGTTGTAGAGAGCAAGCAAGGGGCCGTTAGGAATATTAGTACAGGCGTTGAGGACGGAGTAGGTTATGTTTTTCTTACTACATCAAACAACCCATTTGTCAATATACATACATACATACATACATACATACATACATACATACATATGTGTGTGTGTGTGTGTGCGTGACAAAATCTCTACAGCATGCCAACTATTATTATTTCCTCTACAGAAAGGGTACAAGGCTTTCGTCAGCACCCTCCATGTATTCAGGATAATTTGTCCTTGTAACGGACCACCAACTAAGCTATCCGTTGACGACAGTTTCGTATTAATTAATGGATAACCATTTACATACATTCTCACATATTTGATTATTTAATTCCTAATACAGTACTCTGAACAAACTAACGCAGTTATGAAAAATCGACTAATTTGTCATGCGCTTTTGAAGAATTTCTGGGAAGTCATCAATTACTATATTTGACACTTTATATTGTATTTAGTGTATAACGGAGTTAATTTACTTATAAAAATAATTCCAGTTATTAATATGTCACTATATAGATTTAGGTAGAAGACCAAGAGAAGATTTGAAAAAGATGGGGGTCAAGGAATCTGTATACTGTGTA